TTGTGTTGTCTTCATTTTACTTCATCAATGTTTTATGCTTTTAAGATTATAGGTCTTTTACCTCCTTGGTTAAATGTATTGCTATGTACTTTATTCTTTTTGTTGCAGTTACAAATAGAATTTTTTCCTGATTTCTCTTTTTGCTACTTTGTTACGAGTGTATAGAAATGCAACTGATTTCTGTGTGTTAATTTTGTATCCTCCAACTTAACTGAACTTATTTATTACTTCTAAGTTTTCTGGTGGAGTCTTCAGGGTTTTCTATGCATTGTATCATGTCAACTGCTAATAGTGACAGTTTTACTTCTTCCTTACCAATTTAGATGCCTTTTAGTGTGTGTGTGTGTGTGTGTGTGTGTGTGTGTGTGTGATTGCTGTGGCTAGGACTTCCAGTATTATGTTGAATAAAATTGGAAGTGGACATCCTTGTCTTGTTTCTGATCTTAGAGCAGCTCTTAGCTTTTCAACATTAAGTATGATATTAGCTGTGGGTTTATCATATATGGCCTTTTTTATATTGAGCTATGTTCCTTCTAAATTCACCTTGTTGAGAATTCTTATCATGAATGGATGTTGTACTTTGTCAAATGCTTTTTCTGCATCTGGGGAAATGATCATATGGTTTTTATCCTTTTTCTTGTTAATGTGGTATATTATGTTGATTGATTAGTGAATATTGAACCAACTATGTATCCCTGGAATAAGTCCCATTTGATTGTGATGAATTATTTTTAAATGTATTGCTGAATATGGTTTGCTAATATTTTATTGAGGATTTTTTTGCATCTACGTTTATCAGGATATTGGCCTGTAGTTTTCTTTTTCTGTAGTATCTTTATCTGTTTTGGTATGAGGGTTATGCTGGCTTCATAGAATTATTTGGAAGCTTTCCTTTCTCTTCTATCTTTTGGAATAATTTGAGGAGAATAGGTATTAACTCTTCTTTAAATACTTGGTAGAGTTCACCTGTGAAGCCATCTGGTCCTGGCCTTTTGTTTATTGTGATTAATGTTTCAATCTCATTACTAGTTATCAATGTATTCAAATTTTCTATTTCATCCTGATTCAGTTTTGAAAGATTGTATGTTTCTAGGAATTTATCAGTTTTTTTCTAGGTAGTCCAATTTGTTGACATATAATTTTTCCTAGTAGTCTCTTATTATCCTTTGTATTTCTTTGGTGTCAGTTGTTACTCTCCTCTTTCATTTCTGATTTTACTTATTTAGGTCCCTCTCTCCTTTTTTCTTAATGAGTCTGGCTAAAAGCTTAGCAATTTTGTTTATTTTTTCAAAGAACCAGCTCTTTTTTTTAAAAAAAAAAAAGTATTTTATTTATTTATTTGACAGAGAGAGAGTGAGAGCATAAGCCGGGAGACAGAGAGAGAAGGAGAAGAAGGCTCTCTGCCGAGCAGGGAGCCAGATACGAGGCTGACACTTAACAAACTGAACCACTCAGGTGTCCCAGAACCAGCTCTTTTAAAAATATATATATTTATTTATTTGAGAGAGAGCTTGAGCACATGGGGGGCGGGAGGCAGAGAGCAAGGGAGAAGCAGACACCCCGCTGAGCAGGAAGTCTGACATGGGGCTCAATCGCATGACCCATGAGATCATAACCTGAGCCAAAACCAAGAGTCAGAGGCTTAACCAACTGAGCCACCCCAGGTGCCCTTCAAAGAACCAGTTCTTAATGTCATTATTTTTTTTCTATTAATTTTTTTAGTCTTTATTTCATTTATTTCTATTCTGATGTTTATTATTTCCTTCCTTCTACTAATGATGGAGTTTGTGATATGCCTTCATTTCAATTTTTAAAGTAAGTTCATAACCCTTCAGAAACATTCAAGTTTGCCTTTATGTCTACAACTCCTATCTTGCCATGTATTCCTGCAGTTAAACAGTTTAATCTAAATAAGTAATGATAGCCCAGTGACTGTAAAGAATAATTAATGGTATTTAAATTACATCAATTTGGTCACTCTATATGATTATGTGGAGTTTAATTGTTTTTAAAATTTTAAACTCAAAGAGTGTGCAAACTGAATGGTATAATATTTTTTGTTTGGTAAGTGAAAATTTTAATTCACACAAAAATATTATGCTGACTTTAAACAATAGCTTTAAAATTGACATGTGTTCTTTTAATGTTTTTATGTTTGTTTTAAAACTAGAGAATGAATCAAGAAATAATGATTATTACTGATCATTGCATAATTATTACTGGAAATAATTTTGTTATGTAAAGGAGAAGAGTGTTAGAGTGATCCCCTCTGGGTATCAAATATGCTAGGCATGCTGCTGACTACAAGTGTTGCACAGAGGTTATGGTCACTCTCCCTGTTGCCCAGGCTCATTGTAAACCAAGCATACTCTCTTGTGATCCCGTTCTCTTCTCTTTCCCTGCCATTCTCAACAAACCCACTAGTTCAATTCATATCTTAAATCAATGTTCTTTTGGTCATCTGCTTCCCAGTCTATCACTTTCTTGACTCCCTTAAAGTTTTCACTTCTTTCATTAAATTATCTATGTTATTATATTCATCTGTGGATTGACTATTCTCAAATTTATATCTCTGACTCTCACCTTTCCCCTGAACCCTAGACTTGTATACCCAACTCCTATGCCACAGCTCCACCTGGATGTCTAATAGACATATTAAAGTGACTATGATCAAATATGATTTAATGTTCTTGCCATATCTATGCTGTCCCCAGGGGTCCCCACTTCAGCAAATGGCATCATTCTTCAACAAGTCATTTAGAATATAACCTTGATCTTTCATTACTCTGTTTCTCCTATATCTCATACCCACTGCATCAGTAAAACTTAAGAGGCTCAACCTTCTATATATAACAAAAATTTACCCAGTTCTCACCCCTTCCCTTACTACCATCTGATATCTGGAACTGTATGAAAGCTTGCTGCTTGGTTTCCTTGCTTACCTGTTTTCCTCCACAGCAGTGGCCTTAGTAAGCTTTATAAAACATAAATGATCTTATATAGATAAATCATATCATCATTCCCCTGAGCAAAATGCTCCAGTAATTTCCCATCAAATTTACAATAAAACCCAGAGCCCTTATGTTGGTTTACAAGTGCTGTATAACCAACCCAAAGTGGTCAAAGTATGACCACTTTTCTCACTTCTCTTTCCTTTACTCATTTCACTCTTTTCAGCCACACTGGCTTTGTTGCTATTCCTTCAACACACCAACCATCTCTCTGCCTTAGCTCTTTATATTTGTTTGTCCCTGAGCCTGAAACATTTGCCCCAGCTTTTTCTATGGTATGCCCCATACATCTACAGGTCATTGTTTACAAGTTATCTTTTCTGAGATGTCTTCCCTGAACACACTGCATTATATACAACACAGAAGTATATTCAATTGCCTTGCCTTCATTTCTTTTCCTTCAGGGCATTTTTCTATATCTGACATATTATATATTTATCTTCCACCTTCGAGTATAGTCTCAAGAGGGCAAAAACCTTGCCTACATTGCCCACTGCTGAGTCACCAGAGCTATAATTTATATAGAGAAGATCTATACTCATTGAGTTAACAAATGGACAAATGTACTCAACTTTTATACCAAATCCAAATCTGTGCTCTTCCCTGCTCTTTATCACTCTTTTGTTTCCTTAGCTCCTATTGGTGCATTAAGGAAGCGTCCTTGACTTTTTGTTAGCGTCATTCTCAAAGTTTCCTGGGAGAGCTATGTCGACGAAATAGCGGGTCCTCGGAGGGCATCTTTAGGGAAAGAGGCGGTGAGGCTGGCCACCGCTGCAGCAGAGCCAGGCTTCCCCACCTGCCTGCCTCCAACAGCGGTCATCCAACAGCCATTCTCTGCTTCTTCATTTGGCTTTTGAATCATGGGATTCAATCCTGGTGACCATGTGCCCCATCCTAGAGAATAAATCACGTATGAGCCCAATGGTCGTATATAAGGGATTGTAGAGATCTACTCAATTTCTTAGCCACACAGGAAAGGGAGATCATGTGACTCAGAACTGAACAATGAAATGTAAGGGGAGATTTGCTTGAGTTTCTAGGGGAAAATCTTGCTTCCAAAATGAAAAGGCAAAACCTCCAAAGAAAATGGCCTTACCCCAGTCCTTCCTTCCTGCTCAGGATCTTGACAGAGGCTGTCATAATGCCTGCCACCTTGTGACTGTCAAGAGAGTGGATCAAGGATAAAAATCCAGTGAGCTGAGGATGGTAGGAAAAAAGGGGAAGAGATCAAGCTGGTAATGACCCTATTGAACCTCCAACAAGAACCTTGCAATCAAACGCTTTGCTTCTGTTTAAGTAAATAGTAAACTTCCCTGTTTATAAACAAGTGCTAATCAGGTTTTCTGTTACTTTCCCACAGATGGGATTAGCCAGGGACAATAAAATGATGTCTAAACAGGTGACAAATAGGGTTCTGTTGAGACCTTAAAGTCACCTCTTCCTGATGAAGGATCACACAAAGACCTATAATATGGGGCTGTTAACAGAAGGCTTAGGTACTGGCCTTATCAGGTTGCCAAGAAGAAACGAGAGGGAAGAACAGAAAGGCAGGAGGACACCCCTTGGCAGAGAACCAGAGCAAAGGCAGCTGTTGCTTATCATAGACACACTGAATTTATCACAGTTGTGTGTCACGCCCTAGCACACATTTCTTTGAAAATGTACTGGAGAGTGTGTTTGTATATTGTGCTTGCTTGTGTGTTGAGGGGTGTCCAGGTCAAAATCACAGGGTATAAAGCATCCTTTCCTGACCAGTCTTTGCAGACCTTTTCTGAACTTCTCAGTGAGTGAATTTGCTTTGCAGCCACTCTTCCTAATTCTTCGAGCCACTTGGAAGAGATCCAGCCTCTTCCATACTGATACTGGTGTTCCTCTCTTCTCTCTTGAAACTCTTCACATGTTCTTTGCCCTTCCTTCCCAACCATAGTGGAGCTGAGAGATGTCAGCATTCTATCTTTCCCCAGCCCCAGGACGCTGCCATTCTACAGGATGAAGTCTACCTCTTGCTTCCTTCTTATTCTCATCCTCCTCTAGCTGATGATCCCAGGGACTGCTCCGTGTTCCTTAGACTCCATTGTGGATATAAAGATAAAGGAAGCTCTCAAAAGCTTAGGTAATTGACTGGGGGTGGGGAGTGGGAGAGAACCCCTGATCATTCCTCAGACAGATATCATGGGCAATATCCCTTCTACTCTCCTATTCAGACTTAAATCCTTTCCCAACAAAAAGGATGTCATGTGTCAGTATCACAAACTCAGGCAGACTATCCTCTTGCCCTGCAGGTAAGTAATTCCATGAGGAGGAATGGTGGGTAAGATGCCCTGTGCCCTCCCCTGACCATCCCCCAGCATCTTTACCTTCCCCCTGTCTCATGTTTGTATTATCCTAGGGCTGAGTCTTAACTCCTGATTCCCAGTGATCTCTTGCCCATTCTCATTTCCCTTAACAATGCTACTGAGGGCTCTTGGGTTTCTGCCTCTTCCTTTCCCACCTCCCTTTCATGACCTCATACACCAGCCCTTCCTCCCTCAGTTGTCCTGTTATGATCTGTCACCTACCATTCCACCCCCCCCCCCCCCCCCCCCGTCATTCATCTCCCTTTCCGAATCTATTCCCTTGTTTGGGTGGGTAGGGCCAGCACTGAGGTAAATATAACATGAATCTAAGCAAAGAAATGCTCAGGGCCCTCACTTTCCCAGGTCTCTTCCATGGCCCTATTCCTAAATTTGTTTTAGTAATTTTTGTATTTTTTTTTTTTTCCCTTAAAGAGGGCTCTCAAAATTGAATTACTTTTCAGCCCCACAAAGCTTAGATCTGCCACTGGGCTGCGCAGAAATGAAAAATGGTAGGAGTACACCTCCCTCCGCTCAAAATCCAAGGGTTCTAATGTCTGTGTCTCCTGTGCCCGTGCAGAGATGGTTGTCACTGGCTGTGCCTGAGGCTATGGCTGTGGTTCCTGGGATATCCGGGGAGAAACCACATGCCACTGCCAGCCCAGCACGGTAGACTGGGCCACTGCTCGCTGCTGCCACCTGACGTGAGGGGGAGGAGGAAGAGAACCCAGCTATGTGAGCATGACTGTAATGAAACCATACGCCAAACAGGAAACCTGACTCAGACTGTCCCTTTCATTTGTTACAACCTGCTTCTTGGGTAGTAAAGACAATTTTTGCATCTCTCATGGTTGTATTTTTGGTATTACTGCCCCTGGCTTAGAATTGCTCTAGCCAGAAAATTTCTCCACCGTCCTAATTAAACTCCACCTCAGCAAGGATGAGGAAGAATATGGGGGAGAATGGGAAAAACTGAGATTGCTACTCCAGCCTCCTAGTTCCCTCATTGTTTAACAAAAGGATGCTGACTGTGCCAGGAATTTTGCTTGGCACTAGAAGTACAGAGAAAGAAAGTAACATGCATGCCCTTATTGGAGCTCAATGAGTAGAACAGTGGGTTCCAAACTAAGTGCAGGCAGACTTTCCAAGGGAGAGACAAGTAATGACAGTTTTAAAAAGAATAAATTTCTAGATTTCTGTTTTGTGTATATACTGTTTCCTAAACTTATGTGTCAGAGATTTATTTTGACCAAAGTGATGAATTTGCCATTGTCTGTCACCCCCATAACAAAAGAAAAACACAACCTTTACCTGCCATAGAACCTTACCATGATTCATCAGCTTGGGGTATAAATATCTGCAGAATGGAAAGGAATGATTCAAAATATTGGCACAAAGGTTGAGTGATCCGGTGACTGGGTAACAAGTCCTTCTATAAGTTGTGAGACTTCCAGTGTTTGACACAATATTAAAGAACGGTATCATCCAGTTATCGATTGGTAGACCACCAAAACTAATTTTTAATAAGTTGCAGTATGATTTTTAACAAATAACTCAAAAGGAATCCAAATGAAGTGAATGATACTACTACAATAAAATTTTTCCTCCCTGCATACTTAATTATGAAGTTGTCATCTCAAAGCTTGTATCTATGAAAAGAAAAAAGAGAAATATACTTGGCTCTAAACCTCCTCTCTCTCTAGGATTATTTGTTCATGAATATATAAACTACTCATAGAAAAAAAACAGCTCCATCTCTCTCATTAAGAAATACATTTCCAAAATATACTGTTTGTGTTTATTACTTATCAAAATTTGTTATACATGTTTTGTTTAATTGTGTACTATTAATGGGTATAACACTAACTTAATACCCCTACTTATGGCAAGTAGAGTGAGTCTCTTAAAATATAAACCAAAATCATGTCACATTTCTGCCCAAATTACACATTCTAGTGACTTCTCATTACACAAAAATAAAATCCCAAGTATTGGGATCTTCTTCTTCGATGCTTTTTCAGTTTGACTCCAAATATGTATTTGTCTGTTAATGTATTCTCTCCACCCTCAGAACATGTAATCCATGAAAGATGAAACTTTGTCTAACTTGTATATCATTGAGTCTCCAGTGCTTAGAATGGCACCTGGCCCATGGAGGAGCTGCAATGAACAAATGAATTAGTCACTATCAAGTCTGAGTCTGCTCCCTCTCATGCCTTCTATCCCACTTCCTATGGTCGTTGAGGGACAGACACTGTTTTACTGGTCCCTTCGTCCCACGCTCAAGGTGCCTGTGGAAGAAATAACTGTACATCAGAGGGCACATCTGAAAAGAAAAAGTCAGGGTGAAGATGGAAGCAGGAGAGGTTAGCAAAAGCAGAAGCAGATGTCAGATTTTGTAGCCCTGGCTGATATGGTTGCCCACTGAGTGGCCAATTTCCCCTTTCTCTGTGTGAACAGCTTCCTGATTTCACTCAGAATAGTAATGTGCCCAGGCTTGAGGGATAAGTCACTGTTTAAGTCAATAATGGATCTTCTTCTCCTCTTGGCCAAATATTCTCTTTCCTAGACACCTTTGCAAGGGGTAGAGTTGGGACACGTGACCCAAATCAGGCCAAGAAGAAAGAGGAGGACTCTGCTTGGGTCTTCTGAGAAAGAGTTTGCTTCCTGGATGAAAAACAGAGACTCAAAACTGTCCATGACAATTTTGTTGCTTTGGGTTTGGGTTTGAGAATGTGAGGTCTGGAGCTGTTACCATGGAATTAGTCAACTATCTTGTGATCTCTGAGGAAAAACTGTAAGGATGGTGAAGAAGGAGGGAAAGAATCTGAAGCTGCCAGAACATAGAATTTGAAAAAAGTCTAGAATCATCGAAACCTCATTTCTTCATAAATAAAGAAATCAAAGTTTGTATTCATTCATTTTTACAAGTATTTATTGATTTCTGCTGTGTGACAGGCAGTGGGATATAGTGGTGGCTAAAATAGGCAAAAATTACTGCATTCATGAGCTTCCGTTCTTTTTTTTTAAAGATTTTTATAATTTATTTATTTAGAGTGAGAGAGAGTGAGTGTGTAAGCAGGGGAAGGGGCAGAGGGAGAGAATCTCAAACTCCCTGCTCAGTACAGAGCCCAACACGGGGCTGGATCTTACAACCCTGAGATCATGACCTGAGCTAAAATCAAGAGTCTGACACTTAACTGACTGAGCCACCCAGGCACCCCAATGGAGCTTCCATTCTAATTCTAGGCTTCTACCAGCTGGGATTTTTGTTAATGTCCCATGGACAGAATTAGTCAAGGACAATGTAATAATAACTGAGCAGATAACAACCAGAGTCCACACTTTCTGCCTCTTCCTGTTGAAGGAATGAACAAAAGTTCTGTAATGTGAGATGTCAGCAAACTTGGCAATTCTTGGCAAGCTAGCTGCCAGGTTTGTGGGGCTACCAAGAAGAGAGGGGAGGGGGGAAAGAGAAAGGTGGAAAGACTTATCCAGCAGAGAACAAGAGCAAAGGCAGCTAGTCCTTTCGGCCTCTTTCTGAAGGCTGGACCCTCCCCAGCTGCCTTAGATCCCAAATACAGTCTGTGTTTGTTGGTAGACATGAGGGAATGCCCTTGGCACATGCTGCCGGGGTCAGAAACGTCCCTGCGCTCCCAACCTTAGCAGACCTTTCCTAAACCTGGCTGTGTGAGTCTGAAGCAGAGCTCTCTTCCCTGACATCTCTGCCTGTCAGGAGTGCTGCAAAGGGATCCAGGCTCCCCAGTCCAGTTCTTCCCTACTGTCTTTTCCCTCCTCTCCCGCTCTGGGCCCCAAAATTGTTTCATCTTCTCTCCATGTTTTCCTCATGGCAGGACGCTGTTTTCCCACAGGATGAAGCCCTCTTCTTACCTCCTCCTCATCCCCCCTTCTACCTCCTGAGCTCAGAGGATGCTTTGTGCTGCTTACACTTCGCTATAGAGGAAAAGGTAAGAGCAGCTCTCAGTGAGTTGGCCGACTTATACTGGAGGGGGAACTGGGAGCAGGGGCAGTCATATCCCAGATTCTCAATCCTGCTAGTAGACTCCACCCCATTTCCTAACCCATCTCCAGATGGCAACCTCTAACTGGAAGATTCATCCCTAAAATCCCTGCCTTCTCTGTGCCCTATGGGCTCCTAGAGCTGCTGGTGGCTCAGTGATGAAGTCTACACAGAACATTCTTGAGCTCTTACCATGTGCTAGGCACTGTTAGGCATTCCGTTATTATTTTATCAACTTCTCAGTACACTATGAAGTAAGCACTGTTATTTCCATTGTGCAGAAGAGAAAACTGAAGCTTAGACAAGTTACATTATTTATCCGGCAGCACACAACTGTTAAGGGGCTCAATCCTGGATACGCTGACTCCTTTGCAGAAGGGGGATGTAGAATGTAGGGGAAGGGGCTGGCCGCTGTAGGCCCTGTCTTAGCTCGTCTCTCCCAAAGAATGCAAGCCCTCAGGCTGCATGAAACTGCTCTGCTGTTGTAGCATCACTAATGAAAATAACCTGTCCTCCTGCCTCTCAAATAAGTTATTATATGAAGATGGAGGTGTTTGCTCACCCCTTGCCCTTCCTCATGCACCTGGGCTCATTACTGCCAACCCATCACTGTACCAACAGGTTTTCTCCAAACTCAGGATTGTAATGTCATTGGGTTGGGTCACAACTCCAATATCCATAATTTCCATCCTTCCCTTCCAAGGGGCTACTTAGGGACCTGAGGTTTCTTTCCACTCCTTCCTTTCTTCCTTAGCCTCCCCCATACAAATCTTCCGTCTCCTCCAGTGCCCCGCCATGTCACCTCCTTCCTCTTCTGTGTCCTCCGTCTCCCCCTCCCAACCTAATCCTGTGCTGTTTCTGCCCCCTCAGAAGGGAGGAGGCAAAGGAGAACTGGGGAGGGCTTGCTTGTGTGCCTGTGCCCGTGGCTCCCGGGATGTCCAGGGGGACAGCGTGTGTCCCTGCAGTGCAATCCTGTAGGGTGTACATGGCCTGCAGCTGCTTCCTCATTTCAGTGAAGGAGGCAAGATCTCCATCTGGGGACCACGAAAGCAACAAGATCATGGCACCAACCAGGAAACCTCCACCCCCTCTCCTTCAAACCATGACCTCTCAAGTCCCCTCTGCCCGTGACATCCCTGCCTCACCAATAGTAGAGATAGTCTTTGCTCCTCTCTGTGTCTTTGGTGTTACTACGCCTTGCTGAGGTGCTAGGAGAGGGCGGAGAGCATGAAATGGGTGGTGGAAGAAAAACACTGTAGCTACCAACCACAGCCTGTGACCAGCTACAGAGGCAGAGATATTAGAATCTATGTTTTACATTAGTTAACTGTTTCTTATCTTCCTTTTTTCTCCCCATTAACTTTTATGGAGAGCATTGGGTGGTAGGTAATGTTTTTGGTTTTAGTTTTCAGGGAGGAGGAGAATATATAGCCAGGTTCCTTCCACATCCGGTCACTGCGTTCTACCAAAGCCAGAGTTCCTGTCAGGGGTTTATTTCTATGTTGTTCTCTCTCCTGGCTTCAGGATCGGCTCCTTCTTCTGAACTTTTGTTGGATTCTCCTTAGTTACACCTTAGCTTGGGTGTGCATCTATCTCCTGCTACAATTCTGACAGATATAATCACCAGTAACAGATCTGTCCCTCCTCCACCCCTTTGTACTTCAGGGAGTACAAGGGGTTTAGAATC